GAGGAAAACTGAGAACCCTCAATCTCTCAAGCAGAAGTCCGGGATGGTGGGGGGTGCGGGGTGGGAGAGGATGAGAACCAGAGAAGGATTGCGGAGAGGAGAGGGGGCCTTCTGCAGGTGCAGGGTGAGGTGGAGAAAAAAATGGAGGAAAACAGCTAAGTGTGAGAGCTAGAATCAGAGAAATAGGGACTGGTATCCAGAAAGTGAGAAGGCCAGACACGGAAGATAGCTGAAAGGAGGAATTTGGCACATCAGAGACATTTGGTCATCCTACTTTAAAACAAACAAACTAAAGATAGAGGCAACATCAGAGAAAGTGGCCGAGTAAGGCCCTCTCCTTCACAGAAAAATAAGCAACAACAGTCAGAATTGACTTTGCGGGAAGTCTGGAAAACACTCAAAAGTTAACAGCAACCAAGCCAACGCTGGGTCAAAAAAAGATGACTTTAAGATATATTATTGGGGGAGGGGTGAGAAAAACATGACTTCAACCCAGCAGGATGAGGACATCACTAGCGATCTTATGTTAATAAAAATGCTTATAAAAGAATACTATGAACAAGTGCAATTAAAAAAAAATAGATAACCTAGATGAACTGGACATATTTCTAGAAACACAAGCTATAAAAACTGACTAAGGAAAAAATAGAAAATCTTTTTTTTTTTGAGAGAGAGAGAGAGAGAGAAAGAGTCTCATATTGTTGCCCTAGGTAGAGTGCCCTGGCCATCATCATAGCTCACAGCAACCTCAGACTCTTGGGCTCAAACAATTATCATGCTTCAGCCTGGGGAGTAGCTGGGACTATAGGTGTCAGCCACAATATCCAGCTTTTTTTAGAGACTGGGTGTTGCTCTTGCTCAGGCTGGTCTTAAACTCCTGAGCTCAAGCATTCTACTTGCCTCAGCTTCCCAAGTGCTAGGATTACAGGAAAATAGAAAATCTTGATAGACTTATCACAAGTAAAAACTGAATCAGTAGTCCAAAAGCTCCCCAAGGAAAAGCTCAGGACTAGAGGACTTCAGTAGTGAATTATATCAAACACTTAAAGAACAATTAACAGAGGTTCTTCTGAATCCCTTCCAAAAGAATAAAAGAGTAGGGAACATTTCCTAAATCATTTTGTGAGGTTTGTATTACCCTGATAGCAAAGCCAGACAAAGACAGTACAAGAAAACTATAGATCACTAACCCTTATCAATATAGATGGAAAAATTCTCAACAAAGTACTAGCATACCAAATCCAGCAGCATATTAAAAGGATTACATCCCATGTTTAAGTGAGATTTATTTCAGGAATACAAGGAGTTCAACATATGAAAATGAATCAATATAATACACCTTATTAATAGAATGAAGAAAAAACACAATCATCTCAATTAGTGCAGAAAATGAATTGGACAAAATCTGGCATTCTTTTACAATAAAAACATTCAAGAAACTGTAAGTAGAAAGGAATTTTTTCAGCCTAATAAGATTAAAACTATAGGCAACATCATACAATGGTGAAAGATTGAAAAGATTTCCCCTTGGTGTCAAGAGCAAGACAAGGATGTGTGCTTTTGCTTCTTCTGTAAAAACTGTATAAGCAACATACTGGAAGTTCTAAGCAGAGCAATTAGAAAGGAAAAAGAAGTAAGAGACATCTAAGCTGGAAAAGAACAAGTAATACTATCTCTCTTCACAGATGACATGATCTTCTATGGACATAGAAAATCCTTTTAACAAATGATGCTGGGGCAACTATTCACATGCAAAAGAATGAAGTTACACCCTTATCTTACACCATGTGCACAAAATTCAAAATAGATCAGATATGTAATGGGGTGAAAAGTATGAAAGTCATAGAAGAAAACAGGGGAAAATTGTAGCCTTGGATTTGATGATAGATTCTTAGATATGATACCCAAATCACAAGCAACAAAAGAAAAACTGATAAATTGGACTTTAAAATCTTTTGTGGATCAAAAGACACTCTCAAGACTGTAAAAAGATGCCTTGGTGCCTTTAGTTCAGTGGCTAGGGCTCCAGCCACATACACCAGAACCAGCAGGTTTGAATCCAGCCTGGGCCAACTACAACCAAAAAATAGCCAGGCATTGTAGTTCAGCTACTTGGGAGGCTGAGGCAAGAGAATCTCTTAAGCCCAAGAGTTTGAGGTTGCTGTGAGCTGTGACACCATAGCACTCTATGGAGGGTGACATAGTGAGACTCGATCTCAAAAAAAAAAAAAAAGACTGTAAAAAGACAACATAAAGAATGAGAAAAAATTGTTAATAATATTTATATATCTGATAACAGAGGATACAAGGAACTCTTACAACTTAACAAGAAGAAAAAACTTAATTTTAAAATGGGCAAAGGACTTGAATGGACATTTCTCCCTTAAAAAAAAAAAAGACAAATGGTCAGTAGACATAAAAAATGATGCTTAACATCAGTGGCCATTAGAAAAAATTGAATTAAAACAACAGTGAGATGCTACTTAATACCCACTAGGATGGCTTTAAACAACAACAAAATAACAAGTGTTATTGAGGATGTTCTTGAGGATGAAGAGATATTGGAAACTTTGTAGTTGCTGGTGGGAATGTTTAATGGTGTAGTTGCTATGGAACACAATTTGGTAGTTCCTCAAAAAGTTAAACATAGGCTTGGCACCTGTGGCTCAAGTGGCTAAGGC